TGGTCCACCCCCCCCCCTGGAATTTGCAGAGTTCTTAAAAGTATATACTGAATCAATAAAAGTTGATTTTGGATACCCTCCCCCCCCCCCCCCGTTGAAAACGTGGACCCCACCACTATCACAACCAAATAGGTTTTTCACGTTTGTGAAACGGATTTTTTTTTTCTTTGCAAGAAAATTTCAGGGTTGATACTTTTGGGAGAGCAGTTTTGCTTGTCAAGAAATTTCTGGGTTTTTTTTTTTTTTTGACTTGGATGGACCCCCCCCCCCCGGAAAGAATTCCTGGATCCCTATTCTCAATTAAGAATTTTATAGATTTAGTGAAGACCCAAATTAGACAGATTGCTATCATCAGTGATTAATAAATGGTGATTTATAAATTATTTTGAAAGCATAGCAATATTTTTACACAGAATTGTAGACAATGTTCTTTTACTATTTGCGTATAATTTACACGAATAGGTACGTATATTGCACAAGTAAAAAATAACTACCGGGGAAAGAACAAAGAAGAGGCCGTGGAGATTTAATATTATCTAATCATATTTTTTTTTCTGATATACATGTATATATAATGTGAATTAATAAATTTGCCTAACCATAAATAGCACACTAAAATATGAATTTAATTAATAAATGAAAATAATTCTTGCATGAATGAAGATATACATGTATGTTATGTAAAACGTGTCACAAGAATATTGCTTTTATTCCTTATTTTTTTTCTTTTGATATAGTTTCAGGTGCATTGTTTCAATGCGTGGACAATATTATGACATTTTTTACATGTCCGTAAGAACCCCCCCCCCTTTCTTAAAAACGTATGATCTTGTTTTGGGAGAAATAAGCATGCTCTCTGTGTTTGCGCGTTAATTTCATGTATTCGTGGATTAACGTGTGCACTGTCATAATATTTGCGACATTTTACCATAAAATAATTCTGTGAGATTTTATTTGAGACTACTATGTACCAATCTCAAGATTTTCTGAGAAATCTCAGATTTTTTCTCAGCTGAGTCGGAAAAAAACGTTGGTGGCACACAGAAGGCAGTGCTCTGTCTGTTGTAACCATACAAGTTTTCTTCACAGAAAGTCATCAGAACTTCGAGTTGTGTTTGATTCAGTTTGTAAATCTTCACATCTCTTACCAATACCGTCACAGTCTACACAATTGAATGTATGGTTTAGAAAAAAAAAGGGGGGCTGGGGGTTACATTTGTTTATCCTTCCATGTTCATTTTTTTATTGAAAATATTTTTTAAAAAAATCAGGAGTAACAGTTGTGATAGGATTGATAACCCTTAAATGCCACAGAAATAAGCTCCAAGTTCTCTCCCTTAGAAACACCTGCTGAGGCAGTTCTTCCGAATAACAAACATTCCATTGGCCAGTTTCCTGATGTTCTCGTCCACAGATGGTTATTTGAATTTCAGTAACCAACACAAGCATCTCAGACTTAAGGTGTTCATCTGAAAATATATTGATGTATTTTAACAATAGCCTATTATTGTTAATTTACATAGTACAATAAAACTTGGTTATATGGAAGTCACTGGGACCTTGGATCTTGGATTTTGCGTACTTAAAACCAAGATTCTTTGTATCAAATATATATAGTAAAAAGTTCTTTACCACATTTGTAAAAAAATATTTTTATACCTGAGATTTCCTTAAGAGGGAGTCTTTATTTCCAAGTTTTACTGTAATTATATATCAAGAGGGTCAATCAGTCAATTCCTTTCAATAAGTGCCTATGAATCTAGGTCATCTCATTTTGTTCTGTATACAGACTTACCCTGATATGCTTAGAATGCAGACCATCCACTAAGATAGCGATAAATGGGTCCACTAATTTACAGTGGTTCTCCTTTATCACCACAAGGCGGCCCCTCTTCAGACACGGACACAGAAGCTGGAGACCAAACTCTACCAATACATGGATGTTCGTCTTCTTACTCAGTTTGGGTTTGTCACCTCCACGCTTGGGTTCCTCTGGTAACAGGAGACAGCTTGGAGGTCTAAAGGACTGGGTCTCCTTTTCTTCAGTTTTCTTTTGCTTGCTGAAAACATTTCTCCAAGATTAACAACCCCCTATTCAAAACAGTCTATTTTTGTAAATCTCACATTCAATGTAAAATCTGATCAATATTTATCCCATTCAATGTATAAAAAAAATGCATTAAAAAGTTGCTTTTGAATAAATTACTTTCTTTTCATGCTGTTACTGTGGAATCATTATATTTTGTAGTGTCTCAATTTTCATTGAATTAGTGGGTTCCTCTCATCTATGAATTTACATCTTCACGAATTAATAAACAGTGGTTACAAAGTTATATTTCCTTCTGCTGAAATAAGAGAATACTCGAAATTACATCCCCATGAACCTGTTAAATTTAAGCAATCCACAATAATTGGCCCCAACAAATTTTAATGATTCCACAGTATTTTTGCCCTTTCATACTTGATAACAGATTTGCTCCATTGTAAATCTGACCATACACAAATGTATTTTAAGAATAAGTTCATCATGCATTCTTTGATTTGCCCTGTTTTAAATTTGCCCATTTTTGATAGAGGCAAAAGGACCACTAAAAAAATAAAATGAGGCTGAAAATATCCCTATATGCAGAAATTCTATCTACCTCTGTTTGTCAGATAGTTGTGGAAATGACTGAGTAATTAATCCATGGGTAAATATCATCAGAGACTCTGTATCCAGGCCTTGGGTGTCCAGTTACCCTGTCACCACTTTCTTTAGAACTTTCTGTACCTTTCTTGCTATAGTGTGGCTGTGTGTAGAGTCAAGAACCTGCAAGAAACAAAGAATTTTTCCCAGGGATATTTAATAAACTGCAACATATGTTAGAACTGTGCAATGTACTATGTACATGATACTCATAAACACGGGCACTGCAGACCCCCCCCCCCCCCCCCAAAAAAAAAAAAGGAAGAGTTATTTTTTAAAATATTTGAATAATATAAGTATTCCTCTTGAATTTCATAATTATGAACTCTTTTAATATGATGGTCATAAAATGTTGATATTTATTAAACATATTGGGCCCTTCTGTCATCAACAATGAACCATCTTCAGTCCAAGACAACAAAACTGGAAGACAACTCAGCAAAAAATGGGATAAAGCTGAATGCCAAGAATTGCAAAGTGATGAAGATAAACAGCAAGAGTGAATCCAGCCTGATAGTCGGAAACAGTGAAACCGAAGAGGTGGACAGCTTCACTTACCTTGGCGCCAATGTCACCATGGACGATGGAGGTACTGCTGACATCAGAAAGATGATAACATTGGCTGGCACATCCTTGAGGAGGCTTGCTAACATCTGGAAGGCCACAGACATCAGTAGAAAGATTAAAATCTCCCTGTTCAAGAGCCTGGTCCTCTCCATATTGTTATATGGATGTGAGACTTGGAAGCTTACCAAGACAGAGGAAAGGAGGATTAACGACATCTTTCAGACCAAGTGCCTCAGAAGGATTCTCAAGGTCAGATGGCAGCAGCATATCCCAAACAAGACAGTTCTGGAGATGGCGGGAGTAGAAAACATCAGTGGCGAGGTGAGAAGGAGGAGATGGAATTGGATTGGCCATGTGCTGAGGAAGGATCCTACAGATGACTATGTTGTGGCCCTTGGGTGGATGGAAGCGAGGCAACCCCAAGGCAACATGGCGGAAAATGGTGGAGGTGGAGGGAAATGATGCGGGTTGGAAGTCATGGAACATGGCACGCCGTGCAGCCTCGGACCGGCCCCAGTGGAAGAGGGATATTCAGGCCTTGTGTGCCTTCTGGTATGGAGAGAATAAAGGTTTAGGTAAGGTATTAGACCTATTACAATGTACTGTCTTTTTCTTTGAGTTTCTAAAACATGATTATAAAGGGGAATTTTTTTCGCAGAAACATAAGAAGGATCTCTATGAGAGATTTTGAATCTTCAAAACCTTTCAAACATCTATGTGTCCATAACTTGTCTACTGCAGCTTAAAAACAATATCATCACAATCAATGCCTGGATCAATGCAGGATATTGATTGACAAATCATACTTAATATACCTTTTGGATTAAAAAAAAAAAACATCTATGCTGACAAGCTCAATGCAGACAGTATGCACTGTTTAACTCTTAATTTTTAGGGTCAAAAGGAGACCTTGTTCTTTACCTCTTTTTTCATGTTCCCCCTTTTTTAAAGAACATGCTACAGAATTAAATACATGTTGACTTAAAAGTTAATATTTACTCATCAAAAAAAAATTATGTCAATTAGGATTTTATGCTATATGATATAAAAATTACAATTTAAAAATACTATATTTTTTTAATGCTCAACAATTTAAGTTTTGTATTAAACCTAATTATTTATAATACAAAATTAATTTAATTTTTTTTTTGAGAAGTTAAGACTAGCAAAAAATAATAAATGCCTTTACAAGATGTTTTCAAATACCTCTTTAATATTCATAAATAGGAAATCTATTAAATGTTTCAAAATGTACAATTTTCAAAATATAAAATCTGAGAAACTACTGCAAATGTATTTTATATATTTTATTAATTTGCTAACATGTTCATGCATACAATGAAGGAAAGGAACAACTGTATCAAAATCAATGCTGTAGGAAATTTTATTACACATCTGCTTCTTTAGAAGTAACCCCAGTAATTATGCGGACCCAGTGTCAATATCACAGGTAGACATTTAAATCAATGCATAGAAAGTGCACAGTCAGCACACACCTGGATCATTGATTATCTAAACATAAAAACAGGCCGCCATATTTGATAGAGACAACTTCAACAGGTAAGACAATTATATCTTAATTCATTTGTTATTTAATAAAAGTAAATCCTTCTTTCCTGTGCTTTCTTGTTGAACTGAAAATTATATATTTTGTATGCCAATTTTATTTGTAAAGCAAAATGGTAAAGATGTACATTTTCATTGTTGGCAGAGGTACTAAAAACTCCTTAATTAAGCAACATGGCAACATCATCCGATCCTGGTAACAAGGCACAAGATGTAAAACGGTGTCAACTTTGCCCTGGAAAAGATAGAAAGTCTGCTGCAGAAACTGTGTGTAACACATGCCTTGTCGATCTTTGTAAGGATTGTGTAGGTCACCATATGATTGCCAATCCCACCATTAGACATGATGTTGTTACTTTTGAGTTCAAAAAATCTGAAATCATTCCACCAGAATGCAGTCTCCATGGTGAAAAACAATGTGAAATGTTCTGTGAACAATGTAATTCCCCGATATGTCAGAAATGTCTAGCCTCTGGATCCCATGAAAATCACAATGTGCCACATATTTCTGAAATTTATAGCTCTAAACAGGAGCTAATCAGAAAAGACTTAAATGAACTTGAAACTAGTATCGCTCCTGTTTATGAATCAATACTCTCTGAAATGAAAGAGATGTTATCAAGCATTGAACAGAAACATGATGAAAGACAAAGAACCATTGATGAATTTGGTAAAATATGGTATAAATTAGTAGACAATGTTATTAAAAAAATATCAGAGTGATGCAAGAAAAATGGAAAGAGATGATGTTAACTCAATTAAGAACCTAGAAGCAGATTTCCAGAAATGCTACTTATTAATGCAATCAGCAATGGATGAAAACAAATCTATCCTTGCTTCAAATGATCCATCTAAACTTCTCAACTACACTTCAAAAAATGAAAAGTTCAGAACTATTCATTCCAGATTTGAACTAAAAGTGCCAGAATTCAGTCTCAAGAAACTTACAGAGCAAGCACTGTGTCAGATAATTGGAGACATTCCAGAAACAGTGAAAACTAGCATTCAAGGACAGTTCCTGAAAGCTCCCCAATCTAATTCCAGTTCAGAAAAAGCTATCAAGAAGTGTCTTGATTTGCCACTAACAGTAGGAGAAATAAATACTGATGAAGAAATTTGTGAAGTAGCTTGTATTCCTCACACAGATCACTTTTATGTCAATGGCTTCAATGGAATCATTAAATTTATGAAAAAAGAGGGGAAGGTGCTGAGGAGGATCACCACTAAGACAGAGAATATTGCAGGATATGCTTTGACAGTCACCAGAGAGGGACATCTAGTGTATATTGAAAAGAAGAAGAATGTAATTAACAAAGTGGAGGGGAATAAGATAAAATGTCGGCTTCAAGTACAAGACTCATGGGTGCCAGATGCTATCTGCAGCACCTATACTGATGATCTCTTGGTATTAGTATATATGAAATCCACATTTACATTTACATGGGCCCAGCATAGAAAAGTTCTTCGTTATTCTGGCTCTACATTCACACAAGAAATAAAATTAAGTGACCTGGACCTGGATTTACTTCCAATATTTGTACCTTGTATTGATGAAAACAAGAACTTTGACATTGTGCTGAGTAAGGAAAATTCAGTATTAGTGATGAACAATGAAGGACAATTCAGGTTTAACTACAAAGGAATGATATACAAAAACTTTACTCCACATGGTATTACTACAGACAGCATGTGTCACATCCTGATTGCTGACATTGGTAATAACATCATACACATCATTGACCAGAATGGACAATTCCTTCTGTACATAGACAACTGTGATTTACACAACCTACGTGGTCTCAGTACAGACAGCAATGACATATTGTATGTTGCTGATAACCATAGAGTGAAACGAATTAAGTATATGGAATAAAAGATAAATGTGTTCATGCAGCCAAATAAACTTAGATGATTTATGAACCTCAAAGTCCGACAGGGTTGGAAGGAAATACCAGTGGTGAGAATTATTTCTTTAATTCATTCAATCTTATACAAAATTCAGAAATAAAATAAAATTAAAAAGGAAGATAATACTATGCAATTATTGCTGTTTTGGAGGTCAATACGATGATTTAGACACTTGAGGAGTACAATATTCACAGAGCCTGAAGGGAACTTCCAGAGTAGCACGATCAATTATACTTTTGTCATCCAATAAAATGCCACATCTTACACTGTGCTTGGCTCAGACTTAAGCAAATGTATATATATACAAACACAAAAACAATACAAATTCCAAAAAATATTACGCTTTGCTTTGCTTGACGAGACAGAATTTGATAAAGCTTTTGAATGATGAGGATGCAAAAAACACTCAGAAGGCTACGAAAATAACAATCAAGATCTTTTGGAGCTATTTACAGGAGAGGGGATCTGACTCTCACAATTTTGAATCAATGGAACTAAGTCACCTGTATTCTGCATTGAGTAAGTATGCAGAAGAACAATCAGCGGTGGACTCTATAAACAAAGCAGTTTCCTTTCTTTTAGACATGAACTTAATAGACATTTGCCTGTGAGTTTACAAAATCCAAGGGACATTATCCACAGAGAGGATTTCTGGAAATCACAACTTTTGACAGTGAAAAATTGGTCCAATAGAACAATTACAATGTAAACTTCAAGGGAGAGGGTTAAAATAGTTCAGTGGTAGACTTGACACAAGATGCTGAGAATTTAACATTTTAATCAGACCATACTTTTGATTACAATGTGTTCTTGTTGAAATTTCTTGTTGAAACTTACAATTAAAGCAAAAAAAAAACAATCTTGTTAGAGTTTGCTATCATCTAATCAATCAACATGTTATAAATCAATAATTGCTGTTTTTTAGGTCAATGTGATAATTTAGCCACCTTTAAAGTACAATTTTCAAATTTCCTTTGGGTTCAGTGAATTTTGTACTCCTCAGGTGTCTAAATCATTGTATTGACTTCTTAAAAAGCAAATCTAATTGTATGTTATTTTAAATCCAAATTTCTTCTAACAGTGATTGATGACATCATTATGAAAGTGAGAGGTAATTGACTTTTATTTTTTGTTGTTTTATTTTTACAAAAAAAAATATTTTTTGCAAATGCAGTGCATGCACAAAATTGCTAAAAATTTAGAGATTAAAAATTTCCAGATTTAGGATACAGATTTACAAATTTTTATTATGAGACCAAAGCCATATTTTCATTCACAATTATTTTACAGGTACTAAAAACATTTTCTTTACATTTTTAAATTAGTAAGGTGTGACTTTATTGATTTGCTAATATATAAGATTTTTTTAAAGCATGATATGTATCCTGATGGTATCATACAAAGACTAATATAATGGACAGGCATTTCATACATATATACACATAATTACTAGTATGAATTCTAGAAATAACTCATTCATTTGTTCATAGTTTTAGTTTCTGATACCAGAAGTATAAAAATATTGTTAAACAATGGCATCATAAATCCAGGCATGTTTTAAAATTATTAGAGCCCTACACTCTCTACAAAGCATTTAGGCAATTGAGAATCCTGGCTACATGTACAACAATCACCGAAATCAAAAAGCTACAAAAAAGAATCATCAGTCTTGATGTAGTCTGCGTGGTACCCAGTTTTACTGAAATTGGACCAAACTGTTGTAGGCTTGAGTAGAATTTGAAAGAAATCACAGATTTTTTTCTTTATATAGTAACTTTGCAACTCTTCATCAAAATCAAATTCCTATCAGGAAAAAATGCAATTATTTTAAGATGCATTTAAAGTGCATTTAAAATTTCTGCAAATCTAGAATATGAGAATGTCTCACCTCTTTGAGTGGTGTGATGAATGCCATTTTATCTTAATATTTTCCTTCATAAAAAACAGCATTCATCATTCCTGCAAATGTAAAATTATGACAATTTCTAACCTCTTTCAGTGGAGTGATGTGCCATGAGAGATTCTTTACTGATGACCTGAGCCAGTATTTTTTAAGAGTCATAACTCTTCATAGATCTGGCCTCAAACAGTGTACTTGTAACGCCCGCCTACTCCTTCTCTTCTGCCACTTGTCCAAATAAACCTTCATAGAAAACTTGATTCAGAAAAAAATAACTGAGAATGAAGTGATTTCAAGATCAATTCATCATTATCAATCTAGTGGAATGCATTTTATTACCCTGCAATATACTTTTTTTTCATTTAAAATGTGTTTTACTCTCGTATTCCCGAGAAAAAACAATAAAGGCATCATAATGTCTTGTTAACATGAATGTTTTAATCTTACTTACATCTTGGAGACTCTTCCTATAGACATCCAGTACAGGCAACAAGTTCTTAAGTAGCACATGAAGGGTGTAGACAAAAAAGGAACTCTTAGAAAATTTAATATGTGTAGCAATTAATCTCAAAATCATTGCCATCTTGCAAGAATAATTACCAATAAAGGGATCTCTGCAAATATTGTGAAAAATTAATTCATCTGCCATTTTGTGATCTATCCATTTTCATTTTATGAAACTAGGATACAATTTAATGACGAAGTTTTACGAAAAGCAGGTTAAGTTACCTGATACCCTTTCTTCAATGTTCCTCTAAGTTCGTACAAAATAAATGGGAAAAATTTTGGTCCCAAGGACGTGGTAACATGGTTCCACAAAAACTTATGGGTGAAGATATATTGCCAAAAATCATGAGAAATACGATGGTCAGGGATCAGCAAAATAGTAATTCTAGTACTCAGTAACTGAACATAATAATCATATCTATTTACCTGCCTGTACTTGGCAGTGCTAATATACTAATGCATTTTCACTATATAATTGATATCAGTAGAGCCCCACCCACTAGCAGAACACCTAACCCAGAGGCCATGGATTTCACATTATCAGAAGAGGCATCCTTGTTCATCATAAGCATGGAATTAGTTTGTCTACTTAATATCTATAGGCAGAGATTTTTGAAGAATTTATGCATTTTAACTATATGATTAATAAAGCTCCATCCTATAAATAGAAACCCAAAGCCAGGGTCTATGAATTTCACAATTTCAAATGAATCATCATAACTTGGCATAGTTAATAACCAGAGAAAGAGAAAAATTTTAGGAATGCATGCATATTTACGAAATGAATAACAGAGTACAGGCATAACACCAGAACTCCTAACCCAGGGGCCATGAATTTCGCAGTGAAAAGGTGAAGATAAAAAACAGTTACCGATCTAAAAACATCCATAAACAATACAAAGCTGTGAAGAGGGCATTAACACGGACCCTGGAAATTCCAGGTGGGATCAGGTGCCTAAGAGTAGTTAACATCCCCTGTTGACCAGTCCGTGTACACCCTCCCTGGGCCCTAAGTATTGATCAGGTGGACGGAACCAATGTTAAATTCAGTATAATAACAAAGGTCCTACAATTGGTTTGAAACAAAACAGCTAAAATATGACCCAATGATAGGTAATATTTGCTAACAAGGTTATTATAACCATCATAGAATTTCCGAAATGCCGACTTAAAAAGATGTTGTTGAAATCCCTGTAACATCAACTCATCTATCAGTAGCCTGCCTCAGTTTAAAAAGGGGCCATGAATTTCATAATTTTGGAAGATGCACCCTTACTCATTATAATCTTGCACTATGTTTGTTCGCTAAATACCCAGGAGCAGAGAAGAAGGTTTTAAAGAAATAATGCAATTTTACGATAGGACCTAAAGAGTCTGTCCTAAAAACAAAACCCCTGACTCCAGGGTCATGAATTTCACAATTTTAGAGGAGGAATCCTAGCTCACTTACCCATGCATTGTTTGCAAAATACTATGGGGCAAAGTAAACGGTTTTTTAAAAGAATTTATGCATTTTTACCATGTGATCAACAGAGCTCCATGATACCTCCTCATCTAGGGGCTATAAAATCAAAATTTTGGAAAGAGACACCTTTTTGCATCATAACCATGCATGAAGTTTTTCTGCTGAATACCCGGAAGCAGATATTTTCAAAGAATAAATGCATTTTGCTATATTATCAATAGAGCACTGCTTACACAAGACTTCTTACCCAGAGGCCATTAATTTCAATTTTAAAAGAGGCACCCTTGCTTATCATAATCATGCAGTTAGTTTGTTTATTATTATTATTTATACTCAGGAGTAGAGAGGAAGATTTTCAAACACAAAACACATTTTACTTTGTTATCGAAAGAGCCCAATCTTAACATTGTAACTGCCGATTCAAGGGCAATGCATTTCACAATTTTGGAAGAGGCACCCTTGCTCATCATATTTTTTTAGTAAGTCTGTTTGCTTAATACCCAGGAGCTAAGATTTTTAAATAATTAACACATTTTTACCATATAATTAATAAACAGAGTCCCGCTTTGACACCAGAACCCCTGACCCAGTAGCCATGAGTTACATAATTTAGCATGAGGCACGCTTGCTCACCATAATTATGCATGTAGTTTAATATACAGGGGCAGAGGAGAAGCTTTTTAAAGAATTATTGCATCTTCACCATTTAATCAATTGAGCCCCGCCCTTACAGCAGAATCCCAGACTCAGGGTCCATGAATTTCATATTTCTGGGAGAAGGCTCAATGCTTATTACAATCATACCAACAGTTTAACTACTTGGTGTCCGGATGTAAAGAAAGATTTTTAATGATTGATTTAATTTTGATGATTTTAGCCTCATTCCTCAATTTCCCTTCACCCAGAGATGCCATATATCAAAATTGGTTGAAATGGGTTCAACTGTTCCAGAAGAGCTGAAAAATGTTCAAATGTTAACCTATGACACATGTCACACAACGCACAATGGAACACGCATGACAAGGGACAGAAATAGATAGGAATTGGTCATCCGAGTGACCTAACAAGCTTGAATACTTTAATTTACCTTGCA